ACCTGGTGACCCCTGAGGACACACAAAGGGGACGGTGAGGATCTGGTTGCCCACACTGTGGCCTCAGACAGGGTCTGTGAGAGCCTCCATTTACAGATGGAAAACCAAGGCATAAATAGACCAAGTGGCCATCCTGAAGTCACATAGCCAAGAGGACAGACCTTAGAAGGTGACCCAGAGACTGCCTGCAGTATAGATTATTTTTGTTAAAGACTTATTTTTGCTTTAAATGAAGTGTGTTGTAGGACCCAGCTAAGACAAGCTCAACAGAGGCCTGAATCTCAGTAGTTTACCCTAAGGCAATACCTGGTTCTGAGAAAGACCACAAGCTGAGATCCCCCAGGCACCACCAAGCAACAGACCATGCAAAGGAAATTCCTGAAGATCCAACCATTCTAGATAGGATCACCTGTCAGCACACACCCATTGCTTTTTACTAAAGTCTTTCTCACTTTTCAGACAACATAAAAACTCTTACCGAAATCTTTCTCATGGTTTCCCTCAGTAGTATATAATATATTGTACAGTCACAATATTTTAAAAAAGAACAGAAACTATAACAAAAATAACTTTAAATTCACATCACATAAAATCCTGCACCAACGTGAAGCATCTGAGACAAACAGTAGTTTGTTTTTTTTTCCATACCCTAACCAATAACTTGTAACCAGACCCTCTAAATGATGACAGGTATTTATAACCCATTGGATCTTGTACTTATATGGCAAACCTGCCCGCATTGTCCCCGTGTTCCTGTACTAGAAGCCAAGGCTGACTCCTTTCTACGGAATGTTTAAGGTGGGTAGAGGTGGTTTGTCTCATCTCTTTTAGGAAAATACACCCCTATGCTTATGGCCCTATCTCTAAATCCTGTAAGTGATCCAATACCAAAGTCAGAGAAGTCGTGATTTGAGTCTGTCCCATTACCTCAGTCTCTTAAGTCAGAAAGAGGATGCACAAAAGATAAAAACAAAACAACACACAAAACAATACAGAGTCCTCCTGGTGCCTGGAGGCAAAACCAAACTGAGATGACAGCCTCAAGCTGTTTTGCGGGTGCAACCCGCCCATCTATCTACAGAACTGAGACTCCTGGAGCATCCCATATGCCTGTCTACAGAAACCAGAGAGATCCACTCTCACACAGAAGGGTCCAAGGACCCAAATACAGAAGGGCCCTGGGGACACCTCCCCAGGTGCCCGGCCTGTGATCCTTTCCTGCATCTGTGCAGACAGTCTATAGGCTCTCACAGATTCTGGGCCCATTTACAGAAGGATATTCAGACAGAACGACACAAAACGAAGCTTACACATAGAAAACTTACCAGACAACTGAAAACTCTACAGGGCAGTGGTCCTGTGGGCCTGGAGGATCCCAGAGAGCCCCCACATATTATGCCCAGTCTGTGGGGACCCCAAAAGACCACCAGGGAGACCAACTCACCGAAATGCAAAAGCAAGGTTTATTGGGTGCATGTTACAAGCCGGCAGGGACCTCATCAGCACAGCAGCAGAGGAGGACCCTGCCCTTCTAGATGGCACCATTTAAAGGCAAAACCCAGGCTGGGCGGTGGTGGTGCACGCCTTTAATCCCAGCACTTGGGAGGCAGAGGCAGGCGGATCTTTGTGAGTTCCAGGCCAGCCTGGTCTATAAGAGATAGTTCCAGGACAGGCTCCAAAGCCACAGAGAAACCCTGTCTCGAAAAAAACCAAAATAAATAAATAAATAAATAAAAAATAAAGGCAAAACCCAGAAAAGTTACATTAGCAGGGTGTGGGGTGTCCTGGAGTTGGAACGTCAGGAATTTCCTTTGGATGGTCTGTTCCTGGATGGTGCCAGGGTGGTCTCAGTTTGTGGTCTTTCTCGGAACCAGGTATTGTCTCAGGGTGAACTACTGAGACTCAGACCTCTGTTGAGCTTGTCATGACTGGTCCTACATTATGACTCGGGTCTCTGAAAGATCAGTAAGTGCTCTTAAGTCCTGAGTCACCTCTCCAGTGCCTTAAAATAAAATAAAACGTAACAATAATTTTGCGTGGTGTGTGTGTGTGTGTGTGTGTGTGTAGATCAAAGGAAAACTTGCAGGAGTCAGTCAACTCCTTCCATCTTGTGGGTCCCCAGGATTGAACCCAGGTCATCAGGTTTGCTGGCAAGCCCTTCCACTCACTGTACCCTCTCACCAGCCCCTGAGTGTGATGAGAAAGAGGGCTGGAGAGATGGCCCAGTGAGCAGAGCACATGCTGTGCAAGCCTCATGGCAGGAGTTTGGGTCCCAGAGCCCAGGAGAGCCAGGCACAGCAGGATGCACACCTGCAGCTCCGCCTCCTACAGAGGGGGAGGGGCAGGAGCACCAGGCACAGCAGGATGCACACCTGCAGCCCCACCTCCTACAGATGGGGGAGAGACAGGCGAGTGGGAGCTTGAAGGCCAGGTAGTCTGCTGTGCACAAGAGACCCTGCCTCATCAAAGCTGAAGGCAGACTGGAGCCATGGCTCAGCAGTTAAGATCTCCTACTGCCCTTGCAGAGGACCAGGGTTCATTTCCAACACCCACAAGGCAGCTCCTATCTGTCTGTACATACATCCATTGCATACACTTGGACAGATGCATAAAATAAATAAATCTAAAGGAATAAAATAAAATAAAACACGCAGGGCAGAAGGTTAGGATGGACACTAAGGTGTCCTTTGACATCAGGGGAGCTGGAAAGGTGATGCCCACTTGCTCTTGTCTGATGTAATTCCAGCAGCAGGGACTCTGCTGGCCTCTGCTGGCCTCTGTGGGCATTGCACCCACATGCACATACGTAGGTACACACATACACATCATTAAAGATAAATATATAGAAATTAAAGAAGAAGTAGGGTGGTGGCACACTCAGAGGCAGGCGGATCTGTGAGTTTGAGGCAGTCTATAGAGTGAGTTCCAGGACAGCTAGGGCTACAGAACACCCTGTCTTAGAAAATCAATAAAAAGAGGAAACTAGCCCGAAGTGCAGCTCAGTTGATGACCTCACTCAGGGATTCTGCAGAGCTACACCCCCCCCAATTTTGGATGTAGCAACTAGAGACAAAGATGCACCTGGTGTTGGCATTTGACTATGGAGAGTCCCCCACAGACGCCTAGAACTGCTGTTGGTAGTGTAGTATTGTAATCTGCTGGCCTGGCCTGTCACCTGGGTACCCTGTCCCTTGAAGGGACAAGCCCTGCCCACTCCCAACCCTTCCCCCTTCCACTGAGGCAGGTGGACCCTTTCTTACCCTCTATTTCTCTCTGCCCTTTTTCTGGAGAGGCAGCTTCTGCCTCTCTCCCTTCTCCCCCACTTTCTACCTCCCCCCCCCCACTCTATACACTCTATACCCAAACTCTCTCCCTGCATGTTGTATCTGTCTGTCTCTCACCTGGGGCGGTTTCCCACCCGCCAAGGGAATGGCAGAGCTCTCAGGCGACCTGCTGCTGTCCCCTCCCCGATTGGCACCGGTACCCCACCACCTATTTATAAATGGTAACATTGGTGCGTGACTTGGTCAGGCTCTCTCCACTTCCCTTCTGCCTGTAGGTGGAGGACATGTGGGGACCCTGGACACTCGGCAGGCTATCTCTTGCAACTGAGGACTGTAATCTTCTAATTCTTCTTATATATGGTCTCTTTTCCAGCTGAAAATTGTTGGAATTCTACACCCAACATCAAATGATAGGCTCCTCCCACACATCTGGTCATGCCTCCATGAGTGTGCAATAGAAACTGCCCAGTACTGGTCAGCCGCTTGCCCATCGGGCTTAAAGCCCCTTCCTCGGGCCTCTAACTCCATGTGGCAACGTAGGGGTTTGGTTTGTACCCATCCATTCTCACAGTCCCGGGACTTTGAGTGACGACCCAAAGTTCAGCTTGAGCCACTAAACTTCCGGGACACTGGGTTCGGTCTCAAGCCTTACTCATGGAGACTGCACCAACCTGCCCTCGGATACCAAGCTACATAGCTCCCTATCATCAGCTTACCTTCCGCCAGAGATTGTTAGCTGAAAATGCAGCCTACTTTTTCTATGTTTTACTATCTGCTTTTCGTTCCCAGCACGTTAAACTGCCCACTGGAACCCCTCCGTCTCGTGGGGGGGGGGGAGAATGAGCAAAAAAACCCAAAAACCAACCAACCAAACAAAAACAAAAACAGAAGAAATAGGTAAATCTGCTGGAAAACTCCCTTAGGAGTTGAGCAGAAAAAGTAAATTTTCACTGAAACCAGAGGAGATTGCTACATTTCTACAGGGGCTTCCCCTTTAGCAGAATAAAACAGAAGAAAACATCTTGGGCCAGAGCTGAAGAGAGTAGAAAAAGAAACGGATAGATCTGCTAGGACATTTGCTTAGGGGGAGAGATCAGCTCTCAGCTGTGAAGACTCCTCTAGAAGAGTAGGGTGTCTACATCCTGCAGGGAGACATCCCTCACCACACCCAGCCCCAGGTACAGCCTGACTCCCGACAGTCAGGATTCCTCTCCCTCCAGAGTTATAACACTTGCTTATGCACACAAGGAGAATATCTTGTCACAGCCTTAGAGCTGGCGATGTCCTAGTGCTAGTCAGTGATGTTAGAGTAGAAACAAGTTCTTCTGGTGGTGCCTCTAATAGGCAGAGGCATTCTCGCCCCCTCCTCACTGACAGGAATGTCACTCTGACAGTAAGGGCTGCAGCAGCCAATGAATGAGTCCTTGTCCCTGCCACCCTAGGGATGCTTTTGTTTGTGCTGTGCTCCTGCCGTGTGGGCTCCGAGCCACCCACTCCACCTGGATCCTCCTAACAAGCACAGCCGTTCTCACCAGCGCCCTTCGCTGCAGAGGCCTCATGGCACTACCGAGTCATTTCTTCTCTGAGCCTCCGAGCCTCTGCCCTTATCATTTTCTATCGGGGAGAGAAGCTGTCTGGGGACGGGGATGATGGGAACTGGAGCCTGGAGGCCGGCTGGACTGCAACTAAGTGTGGGTCTCACAATGGCTGAGAAGAAGGAGGGTGGGTGGGGAAGTGGAGGGTGAGGCTCTCCACGTGTGCTGACTCAGGCCAGAGTTACAGGGTGCGTTGGGTAAGTGACTGTGAGCAGACCGAGGAAGGAGCGAGCATGGGTGGGGGCATCCTGGTGAGGGAAATGGGGGGGGGGTGAGGGCAATGGTGGTGGGGACACAGGGGCTGCAGAGAGCACTGTGTTACCTGCTCTTCCAGGTGGGTTTAGTTCCCAGCACCCACATCAGGGGAATCACAGCTCCAGGGGATCCAATGGCCTCCTCTGGCCTCTGTGGGAATTCCCAGACATATGTAACACATACACACACACACGCACGCATGCACACACAAACATGCATGCACACATACGCACACGCACACACACATACAGATCAATTTTTAAAAAAGAAAAGAAGTCCGTCTGCCTCTGCCTCCCGAGTGCTGGGTTGAAGATGTGTGCCAACACCATCACGCAGCCTAAGAAAAGAAATCTTAAAAACGGATAGAGAGATATAAGGTAGCAGGGTGGATACTGAATGGAAGAATGGTGGGGGGTTGGAGGATGAATGGATTGTGTGTGCACAGGTGTGTGGACAGTGGGTATATGAGGCGTGATGACAAAGCGTGGCCAAGCCTGAGCCCTCTTCCTTAGCCCGAGTCCCTGTCACCCTGGCAGGGTAGTCAGCTCACACTACACTTGCAGACTGCCTGGCATGGACCTCCAGCTTGTGGGACTCTAGCCAGCAGCTCTCTGGGACAGAACCTCAGAAGCATCTGCCAGCTCCAGGATCATTAACCGTATTTACAGCAGTAATCCACAATCCCCAGGGACGGAGAAGGCTGGCACGAGATAGCGAGGGAAGGCCCCCGTGGTACCTTGGGGCCTCCTGTCTGGTAAAGTGGAGCCCCAGAGAGCAGTCCCAAATATCTGGCATCTGCTCCTCTGGATGCACAGTGAGCTGGTGTGTTTTTTTGTGATGCCGGGGACACTCACCTCTGTGACATCCAGTGAGAGTGGCTCGAAGTCTTCCCCCCGGTGGCTGTAGGAATCCTGCCAAGGGCACCAGCATTGGGTGTGGGCAGGCACGGAACCAGCTCTGCGCTTGTTGGCACAGCTGCCCAATCATTGCTGGATACGACGTAGCGAAGAAAAGGAGCCTGGCCAGGAGCTCGGTGTATAGGACACTATTCTCTGTAATAAAAAGGGGTGTATCACCGCCTGGCTGAACCTCGCCACACCCATGAACCCCAAGTTCTACAGAACTGTAGAAGAGAAACCCCAGGTCCTGTTGCCCCCTTCTGCTTCACTTTCTGTGTCCTGTCCCTCCACCCCCCTGCCTCCTGGGCACAGAATAGCCGCCAGCCTCCAGGTTCGGCTGACCATGTTCCCTCTGTCTGGCACGCTTCCTGAGCCCTTCCTCAAGCCAGCCATTCTCCTCCAAGAGGCACTTCTCCATCGATGAGTTAATTAACTAATTATTTATTTGTTTCATTATTGCCCAGATCAGTCTTGTTTTCTGGGCTCAAGAGAGTCTCTCACTGCAGCTCCCCAAGTAGCTGAGACCCAGGTGCATGGGTGAGTGGGTAGTGAGGAAGGATGCCAGACTGATGGGAGTGTGTGGGTAGATGGATCCAAAGATGGACAGAAAGGTGGATGGTGGGTGGGAAGATGGACGGATATGAGGGTGGGAGACTGACGGATGGTTGGGCAGATTGACGGATGAATGGGGATTGATGGATGGATGGGCGGATTGACGGGTGGATGGGCAGATTGATGGATGGATGGGCAGATTGACGGATGGATGGGAGGATTGACGATGGATGGGGGATTGACGATGGATGGGGATTGACGGGTGGATGGGCCGACTGACGGCTGGATGGGATTGACGGGTGGATGGGCAGATTGGTAAAGTGTGGAGGGAAAATAGACAGACAGATGAAAGAGCAACGAGGAGAGTAGGAGGTTCAGTAGATGGGTGAACTGTGCCCAGCTTTCAAATGCTATGCCACCTCTGCCAAATCCATTCCCCGACTCCTGCTCTACCATCCGGGCTGCTGTTTGACTTTGTGTCTTGAACCCATTTGGTAGTTCTCAGCTCCCGTCCCACACTTTAGCTTGCCAGGGACAAGCAAGTCATCTGCCTGGCTAAAGATGCACACACAGCACAGACACCGCGTGGGCACTTCTGTTCACTGTATCCCATCTTTCTGGAGTCTCAGACAGCACAATTATGGAGGTTAGAGACTAGCAGGGATAATGTGCTTGTTTTCGGCCTCGTGACCTGAGTTCAGTATCCTGGACCCAGGAGAGCCACCTCCCTCAGGCTGTCCACTGACTTCCCACACACGAGTAGTAGCTAATCAAGAGGGTACACGCAAACAGAGCATTTTTGAAAAGGGGGCTGGAGAGAATTCTCAGTAGTTTTGAACATGAATCCACAATCAGGTGGCTCACCTGCAACTCAAACTCCAGGGATCCAACTACTCTACCCAGCATGGACACCCGCACACACATAGAAAAATAAAAATGGAGGCTCAGAAACTACTTTATGAAAGCCACACTGGCGCCTGGGCAGCGGCTACAGAATCCTGTCCCTACAGGGCATCTCCGAACAGCGACAGAAATGCTCTGAGAACACACGGTGCCATGGCGCCCTCTGGTGGTGATATTTCTCACCACCGCCCACCTTCTGCTGGGGGAACCAGGGGTTGTAAAGGAAGGCGCTTTTGAGCCCTGTGTTCCAGCCCCAGCACCACATGATCAGCGGTGAAGGTACAGGGCTGCCAATCCCACTTGGGAGGCAGGGGCAGATCAGGAGTTCAAGGTAATCTGTCACCACGTGAAGAGCTCAAAGCTGGCCTGGGACTCATAAGACTCTACCTCAAACAATTTCCAGGAAGCACGTAGAATCCAGGAAGCAGCCCCAAGAGGAGAAATCAGGATTTAGGGAGGGAGGCAGGGAACAAGGGTGACATAGGGACCAGTCATAGCAAGGTGCTGGTTCCACAGCTATGGAGATCCTGATGGCACAGAGTGTCTAAGCAGGTGGCAGTGCTGACTGGTGGAGTTTAAGTTTGACCCCAGCACCCTGGCAAAAGTCCGGCTGGTTGGTTTGTACCATAACTGGGGAGACAGAGAAAAGCAGATCCCTGGAGCTCCATGGCCATCGAAGACACCCCACACATCCATCAGACACCCACACACCCACCAGACACCCCACACACCCATCAGACACACCCCACACACACACCAGACACATCCCACACATCCATCAGACACACTCCCCACACACACCAGACACACCCCACACACCCATCAGACACACCCTACACACCCACCAGACACACCACACACCCATCAGACACACCACACACCCATCCGACCCACCCCCACACACCCCCCACCCCCCCCACCAGACACACCCCACACACCCATCAGACACACTACACACCCATCAGACACACCACACACTCATCAAACACACCCCACACACCCATCGGACACCCCACACACCCATCAGACACACCTCACACACTCATCAGACACATCCCACACACCCATTGGACACCCCATAACCCATCAGACACACCCCACACACCTATCAGACACTCCACACACCCATCAGACACACCCACACACCCACCAGACACACCGCATCATACACACCTATCAGGAACACCCACACACTTAGACACACATTTCAGATACAGCAGACACAGACACATCAGATACACATATCACACACGTACACAACACACACACAAACGGTCAAGGATACTCCCTGGACACACCCATAGGACACACCCAGAGGTGTGACTTACCAAACTTTAAAATTAAATACTTTCAAAAACTGAATCTTTTAGGGGGCATGGTGGCGCACACCTTAAATCCCAGCATGACAGAGGTAGAGGAACAGATCTCTGAGTCTGAGGCCAGCCTGGTGAGTTCCAGGACAGCCGGGGCCACACGGAAAGACTTGAAAAACCAAAACCAAAAACCACCCACCTTTTCTTTGAATTGTTTGGCAGTTTAACTCTTTAAATTTCACTTCATGTACTAACTTTGTGTGTGAGTGTGTACACGTACACAGATGCACATATACCCTGGTGCATTGTGGGGGTCAGAGGACCTGTGGGAATCCCCTTACTCCTCCCAGCATGTGGTTCGCAGGACTGAACTCAGGTTGGCAGCATTGGCAGCACGCGTCTCTATCTGCTGAGCCACGGCGGTGGCCTCTCCACTCTACTTTTTAGGTAAGATCTCTCACTGATCCTGAACTCACATAACCAGCCAGGCTGGGATCCGCCTGACTGTACCCTAACTCTGGTGCTTGCTACACTGAGCTTTGAAGTGGGGCTAGGGCTCTGAACTCAGGTCCTCAGGGGTGTGTGGCGAACACTGTCCTAGGTATGCCATGTCCCAGTACCTACATCTTCTCTTTCTCTTCCTTTTTTTTTTTCCTTTTGGCACAGGGTCTTACATAGCTGAGACTGACCTTGAACTCCTGATTTTCTTCCTCTGCTTCCTGGGATGACAGGCCTGCACCTTCAACTCCATTTTCACTCTTCTGATCTATTCTTGCTTTAGGTCACCAACTGCCTGGGTTATCTCAAGTTGCAAGAACACAATGCTCTGTGGCGTTTGGCTGCCCTGGTGCCAACAGGATCCCGCAGAACGGACCTGAGACAATGATCAACCAGACCGCGCTGCACCAGGGCAGCTCAGCTTTCCTTTGTCCCTCCCCTGTGAGCCCCAAGCAGCTCACATGGATAGTGTTAGCACAGAGGCACACCTTGGTCCTGCCCCGTGGGAACCTATGCTTTTAAAACTTATCCTTACACCGACTCTGTTTCATTGGCGTGTTTGCGTGATGGTGTGCTTTGGCAGGGCCCGCTAAGGTGTTCGCTTCGTGCAGGGACCCCACCTACAGTAGATCGGTTCTCTCCCACATGCAATGAGTCTGCTTTCCTGTTCCCTGGAGGCTTTGATTCTCCACTGTTTTCTTTGTTCCAAAGACCTGCGAATGTCTCTCTCTCTCTCTTTAAAAGCCCTGTATGCTTGCTACAAAGTGTGAGTCAGAGATGAAAAGGCCAGCTTCCTCTCGCTCACTTTTCATTTAACTTTATGTGTGAATATAAGCTAGTTTTAACTCTGGATGTGCGTGTGCATGCGTGTGTGCAACTTAAATTCAGCCATGTGTATGCATCCATGTTCTCACTGTTAAAAACTGTTTTAAGCAGTCCCAACAAAATCCGTTCATTATATCTCCTTCTAGACAAAAAATAACAAGTCTCAAATATTTTAAACTAGTATATAATTTTAGATGATGATAAAAATATGGTTAGATCTGTTACAACATACTGTCTGATTCAACTCTGCTTTAACACACATTCCACATGGTGGTCAAACTGTAAGGTTCTAAAGATCTATTCAGATGAACAAAAGCTAATGGACATTCCTGCAAGCCAGTCTTCACTACTGTCAGTTTTCACTGTTAAGCTTCTACAGCAGTTTTTTCTTTACCTCTTTGTCCTTCACAAGTATAGTTAAAGCCTATGCAGTCAGCTGGAGGACTCTGGGTAAAGCATTTCTCCATAGCCTCTCAGTGTAGACCCAGCTCCCCAGGCAGATCCTGCTCTAATGTCACTAAAGTCATAATTCTTATCTGCCCAACAGGCAGCCCTCAACTGCTGAGATCTGGGGAATGTGGTGTTTAAATGTCTAAATAAAAAGGCTTTTTGTAACAGAGAGGAAGGTTAGCTCCTGGAAGCAGCCCCTACTTCCTCCAAAGAAGATGGCTGGGCCCAGAAGACCCTCCGCCTCGAGCTTGCTTCACAAGTAGCAGCGCTAGCCACTGACAAACCTGCCTTTCACCTCAACTGCTGCAACCTCTTCAGACTGTGGACAACAGGACACTGGGGAATTGACTGCCTTATTGACCAGGGTGAGGCCGGCTGGTCTTCTACAAATCCACAGATCTTCTGAAGCCTGGCAGGCCCTGAACTGCCAGCTGAAAGATGGAGGGTGCCCTACGCCCTGCCCTCAATAACCATGGAGGGCCCTGGGGTGGCTGTCTAGGCAGTCAAACAAGTGAGTCTTGTAAATCACTAACTCAGGTAAAATTTATCCTTCTCAAGATCTCTAAAGCAGTTTGACGACTGGTAGCTTTGCCAACGCCTTCTCAGTTCTCCGTGTAAAATTCAGGTCCCGGGCCTCACTCTCCTAGAGCTAATGCCAAGTCTAGACACAGTTTACCTCCTACCAGGCCCAGATAAGAAATGAACTCACACAAGAGATTTCCCCTACTTGTTAAGGTGACGCCATGGTGATGGGAGGAACAGGTGCTTTAAGGTTCACTTAAGCACAAAATGCAAAGCTTAAGATGTGAGGACCCAAGAATGCTTTAGGGTCTAAGAAGGCGTTTTAAGGGTGCACATGCAAGTTATGAAGTCTGAGGAGAAGAATGTTCCAGAGTACGAGAAAGGGACCTAAGATGTGTACTGCAAGTTATGAAGTCTGAGGAGAAGAAGCTTAGGTGATGACAAAGGCGAGTGGTGTGAGGCGCTGGAAAGAATAAAAATGCTCTGATCGCTCCTTCATTATGCTGCTGTTATATCAGGACCCCAAGGGTCCACAGTCTAAACATTAATCAGTAAAATTCTGAAAAGCCATTCGTCTGGCTCTGACAGAGGGCTACCACGATCATAGCTGCAGGCTCAGGATATTAAATTCTCTTTGGTTGTCTTCTAACTATAGACTTAAAAAGTACTTTTCATTGTGCAAAAAACTTTGTTGCTGGGCGGTGGAGGTGTATGTCCTTAATTCCAGCATTCTAGAGTTCAAGGCCAGCCTGGTCTACAGAGTGAGTTCCAGGACAGGCCCCAAAGCTACAAAGAAACCTTGTCTCAAAATCCAAACCAAACAAAACATTATTTGTCACCGCCATTTCTGACACAAGTGCACTGCCCTTTCTATAAAACAAATTTCAGTGCAGATTATAAACAGTGCAAATGCTAATGTGTCTAAAACTTAGGTTTTCACAAACTCAAAGAACTCTTGTAAGTTCCAGCAGTCGACTTGGAGGATTTGCCTCAAACAGATCAGATGTACCCCTCCCTCAACTACCAGACCCTAAGAGTCCAAGACTCCCCACTTTTTCCCAGTCCTGACACCCTCCCACTCAATCACCAGGACCTAAAGAAAACAAATTTTCTCTAAACTTAACCTTGCCCTCTGCTCTGCCAGCACCTCACCATGTCTAAGAGACACTGGACAGTTCCACAGAGCCTGGACAGCAGTGAAACAACCCTGGATGTGGCAGCACCCCAGCTTTCTCAGGTCCCCCCCAAAAGACAATCGATACCCTCAGTCAGCAGGAAACAGACTCGAGAACTCAATGCCCTCATTTCCTTAACCTACCACACCTAACTCCTCACCTTTTTGCTAAAAAAAGAAGGGAGGAATGTTAGCATCAAGGCACACCTTGGCCCTGCCCCTTGGGAACTAGGCACAGTGTGTCATGCCCTGCGCCCTGCATCATGCCTGCCTGCGTGGCAGACAGTACTCTGTTCCTTCAAGAGACAAGCCCGCCTCTTCCTTCTCTCTTCCTTCCTGCCATTTTCTCTGAGGAGGCAGCTTTCTGTCTCTCTCTTCTTTCTCTTCCCTCCTCTCTCTCTCCGCATTTCTCTCTCTCTCTCTCTCTCTCTCTCTCTCTCTCTCTTTCTCTCTCTCTCCCCCATTCTCTCTTCCCTTCCTGACTGCATTTCAAATTCTATAAGTTAGTACTGAAGGATATGTCATGGGATTAAACAAGAAAGTTTAATGTGTGGATATAGAGAGACATATATGGATGGATAGATGAGTGGATAGAGAGAGACATATACGGATGGGTAGGTGAGTGGGTGGATAGATGGGTGGGCAGGCAGATGAATGGATGAGTAGATGGATGGATAGATGGGTGGGTGGATGGATGGATGGGTGGATAGAGAGAGACACATAAGGATGGGTAGGTGGGTAGGTGGGTGGATGGATGGATGGGTAGATATATGGGTGAATGGATGAATTTATGGGCAGATGGATGGGTGGGTGGACAGATGGATGAATGGTTGGATAGAGAAAGACACATACAGATGGGTAGATGGGTGGGTGGATGGGTGGTTGGGTGGGTGGATGGATGGGTAGGTGGGTGGATAGAGAGAGACACATACAGATGGGTATGTGGGTGGGTGGGTGGATGGATGGATGGGTGTGTGGGTGGATAGATGGATGGGTGGGTGGATAGATGGAAGGGTGGATAGAGAGAGACACATACGGATAGGTAGGTGAGTGGGTGGGTGGGTGGACAGATGGGTGGGTAGGTGGGTGGGTGGGCATGTGGTGGACAAATGGATGGATAGATTGATAGAGAGAGACATACAGATGGGTAGGTGGGTGGGTGGGTGGATAGATGGATGGGTGGGTGGATAGATGGATGGATGGATAGAGAGAGACACAGATGGGTAGGTAGATGGGTGGGTGGACAGATGGTGGACAAATTGATAGATGGGTTGATAGAGAGAGACACACAGATGGGTGGAAGACTGGGCGGGTGGGTGAATGATGCTTGAATGGAAGGTAGGGACTGGAAGGTAGATGGGTAAATGGATAGACAGGTGGATGAATAGATGGATGAGCACATGAGTGAATGGTTGATGAATTAAGGTGTAGGTTAGTGAAAAATCAGCTCGCAGTCCCCTGGGAAGAATGGGTTTCTGAGGTTTCTGGAGAGCAGCACAGAGCATACCCTCCTATCGGGCCAGGACACTCACCCATGCCGCGGAGCTCCACAGCAGGGCGGCACAGCTGGAGGGCTTCTCTGACCAGGCCAACCTCAGGAGAGTCCATGTGAGGGGCACACATGTCAAAGTCATCCAGCAGGTCCTCAATGCCCCCAGAGATGCCCCTACAGGAGATCCAGCTCATGTTCCCTGTGGAGGACAAGAAGTGAGGAAAGTCAGAGTCCTTGCTGCCTGCTGGTTCATTCTGAGGGTGGGAGAATGGCCACCCTTTCCTCCTGGGGTTCTGGAACTATGAAGTTCTGGTGCTGAGGCTGTTCTGTGGTGGGCACTGAGCTGTGATTGATGGAACATGGCCTGGCCTCCATTCCAAAAGCTGTTGACACTTCTACCTACAAATATGACTCTCAAAAATGTCTCCAGGATTTGCCAAGTGTCTCCTAGAGGACGAATGTCCTTTGAAAATCACAGGTATGGGTGGTGAGTGGGAAAATAAGTGGATAGAATAGCTATGTAGACACCCAGTCACCCAG